CCGTCGTCGTGTGTTGGGTGTAGATAGTCGTTCTCTAACAAAAGGAATCGATCGGCCTTCGACTTTGTCGATAGGACCGCACTATGGAACTGTTTGTTGAGGAATGGAGTACCTGAGAAGTATGTGTTGATCCTCAAAGAGTTGTATCTTCATACCTCAGGTCTGGTTAAGCTTTCGCCACCCTTCGTCGTCTCCAGTGGAGTTCGACAAGGCTGCCCTATATCCCCATTCCTTTACAACTTTGTCATANGCAGTTCGTAGTGTTCTGCTTTACGGTTGCGGGACCTGACCTCTCCGAGCGGAGGATGCTAATCGACTTTCTGTATTCGACCGATGTCTCCGAAGCATCGCTCGTGTCTGGTGGGAACACCGGGTGAGCAATGACGAGGTCCGTCGTCGTGTGTTGGGTGTAGATAGTCGTTCTCTAACAAAAGGAATCGATCGGCCTTCGACTTTGTCGATAGGACCGCACTATGGAACTGTTTGTTGAGGAATGGAGTACCTGAGAAGTATGTGTTGATCCTCAAAGAGTTGTATCATCATATCTCAGGTCGAGTTTTGGGTGACAGTACCACCGGGCCACCACTGCCCATAAGTCACATTATCTTCATTTGCATTTCAGGTGGAGAGAATCCAGAGCCAAAGCTCAGGGATAGTTCCAGACTAGATGTGTCTTGACGTCTTCGAACTGGACACCATGGGCCAATCTTCGATTATCTCATAACAATAGAAGAATGACTTGACAAAATTTTCCAGAAGAAAACAAGCGATTTTGTTGATTTCGTCAATCGTCATCATTATCTGGGACTGCTCTCTCAGATTAATTGTGTACTTGAACACCGGGGTCGAACCGCGTCACAACATTTTTTTATTTGATGAAAACTGGTAAGAACCATGAAGTTTGTCGTGTGCTTATCATAAAGTTTGTTAAAACCGTACTGTTTACAAGGAATATTAAGTGAAGTAACCAAGCGGACTTGGAAACATGCTCACCTGATTTGCTCCTCTTTTTGGCAACACAATACCGAAACGCAACCGGATGCAAACCGGCCGGTTCGGATTTGGAAGGCGACCGGGGAAAGGGATTGGACGCCACGGTATACGATCACCCGGGGCCAAACGGAAACGGAACAGGCTGTCCAAGGTGGTCGAATGCACAGTGAACATTTTAGGCAAAGGCACGGGAACGGAGTGGGTCAGTTGCTCAAAGACGATTATCTGCCAGATTAAGAGACATGTTTGACGATGAGAACGGTCACCGGATGGTGATGTGGATAAGAAAGCATAAGAATGTTTGATTATACATAATGTGTTGATGTCTGAGAAAACAAGGTTGCCTTGCAATGTATCCAGTGGCATAAAATTTGCAGTCGTATTTCAGAAACGTTTTCAAATCTGAGCGAACACTATTCTGGAACTGACTACTTTGATGCTCGTCACCAATCACTTTCGTTAGGATCTAGTACATTTAAGGTCAAATAAGTTAATTACAGGAACCTTATTTCTAACCACAATGGCACACTTCTCAACCGCAAGGTTTGTCACGAGATAAACGATGAAATTCACTCCGGTACCATTGAGGGACACGCGGATAGTTAAGTGACCTCTCCAAAGTCTACAATGCATCCAACAAAACTAACACTAAAAGGGACAGAATATCTGATCCCTTGAAACGATCCAAAGGCCAGTTACACCTTGTTTTGGATCAATCACTTGAGTTTCCGGACAACGATGTTTCATGCTGTCTGTTGTTTTAAATAAGTCCCTCGATCTGTGTTACCTGTCCAAGATGAGCGATTGGATCAAGAACAGTTATCATCATCATCACTACCGAATACAAAAACCGATGTGAAAAAAGTTCAAGCCAAGTTTTTTTAATGACGGTAACCGGATGCTTACTAAAAATTGATGGTTTCATCAAATCTACACTGGGAAGTAGAGACGCAGTTAAAATAGAATGCATTGTATGATCTTCATTCGAAAGCAGATTCAACATCAGATATTGCTGTGGTTCCCTGCTTTGTAATGTCCCCTTCTTCCCTTAGTAAACTTCGGGCTTTGCAACCACTTATTGCAGATTAGATCGAAAAGTGGAAACAAATGGATTTTCTTGACTGGTTGGAAACCATCATAGAAACCAAGGATACTTTCCAACAACTTTATTTCGAGTTTTAAATAGTTCTTTTTACTACTGCCTATCCCGGTTCTTCCTACCTGTGATCGTGACTGATTGATGCAACAGGAATATCTCAGCAAACTGACATGTGGTACGGACAGGACCCCGTGAACCGCTAATGTGCCTCGCCCGATTCCAGTGGTTGATGGTACTGAGTGAGTCGATTGCTAAATCGGTTGGTAGGACAAACAAGGAATGATCTATTGCGAAGATGAAAATGAGCGCAGTGTTAGTACAATCCATTGGTATCATCATGCTATACCAGGACTGAGTGAGCATCTCATTACACGGCAATCGGATTTTTCTGACTGAACGAGCATAATGCTTCAAGTAAGAAGTCGAAGCAATAACTCCGGTGCACAATGCAATCATTAATATTGTCCCGTAGAAATGCATGCAATGAAGTCAGGGCATACACTATCGTTCCTAAAACCGTTCCTTGATCCTCTTTGTATACGAGTTTTTTTTAACTGTATTAAGTGCGATTGTTGCATCGTTTCAAATCGTCTTATCCCTTTCGCATGACCTGAAACAATTAAATCCCCTCTGACCCTCTCTGCGATCTGATTGGGTCATTTTCCGCGTTTTGCGCAAATTGGAATCCCCCTACCTGACACGATACTGCCGGATGACCGGTTCGTAATGTTTGTGGTGCTCTCGTTATCTCCTATAATCCAGTTGTGCGATGTTGGCAGTCTTGCTGTGCCGCAATGGAAGTTCACCGAGTATTCTAAAAGCTCGAGGTTGTGGACGAAGTGTGGGTTTAATTCCAGAATCACTTCGCTCCATTTCAGCTGGTACTTACTGCAGAATACAAAACAGTTTTTAAACCACATGGTATCAATTAACTCCGGGATGACAGCACCAAAATAGGACGTCATCATTCAACTGTCGTTCAAAGGCGACGATGTAGACCAACTTGTACGAAGACGGCTGGTGTTATCGGTAGTCCGCATATATTTTGCTGCAAATCCGGCCGTTCGCTTAACCACATGCCAGATTCCGAAGCCCGTAGTGAAATCACCACTCTCTTTGTTCACCAAATCGCACGTAATCCATGAATTTCAATGTGCGTGCAGAGCCACCTATGTGGGCAAAACAGAGGCAGCTGTGTACCCGAGTGGCAGAACATATGTTCCACCACTACCAGCATGGGTCGAAAGCAAACGGTACAGAATGAGGGCTACACAAACAACCAGCCCATCAAGTCAGCCGCACAGAACACCTGTCATCAATTGCTCGCCATCTGTTTGCAGACTGGCTACCAAGCCGAACGCGAGACTTCTTTTCGGGTAGCTTACACAACCTCGAATGGACGGCTGCTGAGATTTTTTGAGGCCATAGCTAGTCTGTCAGGTGCTCTTTGTGCATCCTCCATACATTCGAACAAGCAAACGATGTCGTCAGCGCACTTCGAATAGCATAGCTTTTCTCCAGCTACCCATTCAATAGCAAACATTTTGGAGACCACTTAGTGCGTTCTCCAGTATTTCGTCCATGACGAAATTGAACAGGAATGGCGAAACAGGACACNACGGCATACTCAGCTTGCCTTAAACCATTACGCTATCAGAAGTATGTGAGTAGAGTGAACTAAATTTGTTCACATGCTTCTGCGGAGCAAACCCATAAAGGATTCGTGGCCAGCTGAGTCCAAAGCTCTTTTTAGGTCAAGGAACACGACAACCGTTGGCCAAACAAAGTGAATTAGTTTGATCAGTGACTGAGAGATTTTACTATTCCACCATCAACATCCGGTATGTAAGTATGTGGTCGATGGATTCGCACGGGTGATGAGGGCCGAAAGATCCAAGCGGTAATAGTGTCGAGTTTTCACTTGATGGTATTTGTATTCCGTACGCGACAAGATTCATTTCGTGAAACAAAAAGGAAGAAATGAACCTTTGTTAGAGAAAATACAATCAACTCAATATTGTCTGCAGCGTGTGTTCTGTATATTCACCCAAACACTCTCTTTTATACAATTTTCAGGGCCATGGACTATTGAATCAGTCTGCTACGGTACTCACAATCCCAGTTGTTTAACCATCGATCGATCTGTTCCTCGTGATTTTCACAACACATGCATAATATCCGTCACGCATACATGCACTTCTCCTCCATCAGGAGCGACCCCACTTCTCTGTTCATCTACGATCTCGCCATCTCTCGTAACCCTGATATCGGGTGAATCATTCTGCTTCTTGAGTGTTATCAATTGATGGTATCAGGTTGTTTGATCTTTATTTGATTGGGCCTCTAGCTTATCCAGAGTTAGGACTAACTAGCCTGCACAGATGGCCTCCTAAGCTGCTTCAATTTTTGGGTTGTTCGTTTGACGCAGTGGTGAGCTTCCTTGTTCGCACGTTTGACTTTCGATCAGTATTGTTTCTACCGTCAAATGCAACCATACCCTCGGGCAACGTCATCGTTTGATGCGTGTTGCCAATGCAAATTGTAACCTTTCATAGTCCCAGTTCTGCAATACTATTCACTATTGTTTAGAAGAAAATAAACGTCGAGAAAATTGGGAATTCGCATCTTAGGCTTATGCATAATTCAGCCTTAGTCTGTAGATAATTGTATGGATTCAACAAAGGCATTAAAATTCATTTTTGCGTGTTTTCCGAGTTTGTCCTTTTTGTCTGGAAACGTTTCATCATCATCAGACGCGTCCTGAAGATGTCAGCTCAGCTGGTAATGAACAAGGTGACAGGCACAAAATGAATGCAGTCCACGTCAGCGATTGGAAGCACATTGTCAAGGTTATCAAGAATCAAAGTTGCACCGGATAGGAAGAGTTTATTTGGATTTGGTTTAATGGGGACAATTGAGACGGTTAGGAATGATTATCTGAGGTCAAAACTACTACGAAAGTGTACGAGCCACCGCATCAAGTGATGAATTGACGATTAAAACTATCCGTTGGTAAACATACCCAGGAGTAAAAAATACAGCGGTTGACGAGGAAGACAATAAGCGAACATTCAGTGACATTGTGAAGAATGCTCCTGACCAAACAAACCGATTTCTGGATTGAGAATCACTTAATTTCGCGAGTTTTTGTTTCATGTTTCTTTGAATTACCATCATGCAAAACGGTTGGCAATCATTACTTGCGGTGAGTTGCCCATAAAATCCACGAGCACAATGCGTTCGGTTGGAACTATTTTACACCTCAAAAATTCAGGATACATTACCGATGGCCCGTGTCCGCTAAAATGATCCGCACCTTCTGAATAATGACAGTGGAGATTCGTCTAAAATGTTCTGTATGACTTGTCATATTTGTACACCAAACCAACAAAACAGAACGATTTCGTAACTGAAACCAATCTAATTCGAAGATTGGCTTTTATTCGGTAAATAGAATTGCTGAAAATTGCGTCGATATGTCTGTTTTACCCCACCCTGTTCCCAACCAGTTCGCCTAGATCATGACGGATTATGAGTAGGGGATGGCGAACAAAGCCGAACATACATTCAGCGAAGGAACGCTGATAACAATGAAGTTTATATGCAGTGTGATTAAATGGGCCTGTATTTACTAATTAGGATCTTCTCGAGTCTCTTGGACGTGATACCTACTAACTTTGTCACAGTCATTTTTATCCATTTTTGCTTCAACCCACGGAGCACTTTCGACTAGAATGTTCAATGTGCACCGTAGTCCGATGATTCATCTTTTGTAAAACAGAAAACAGGTTATCGATCACATTAAGACCCCAGTTATGCGGTGGTAATACAATGAATCGAATAGCTGGATCAAAAAGGGATTTCTGGAACTAATTTTGCTGGGGATTGGAATACAATTGTCTTCTAATTTCAGCTCGCTCGGTTTTCGGACTTCGCCAGACGGTAAAACTGTTTTTTTCTGTGAATTATCCTGTTAGTAGTGCTTTTGTTTACGATAAGTAACTGGGCAAGATTGCGTTTGAAAAATCCAGACTCTGAGCTCCTTCAATCCGAATCCAATTGTTTACATTGGGGACCAAAAACTTAAGGTTTGATCAGCTCTCTAGTTCATTATCGCAATAATAGTATGAACAATCAACGGGCAGCCATCAAAAGACCTTGACTTCAAGGTTGACTTACATTTTTTAGTTAGTCGTTAATCACTAAGCGTTAATATTAAAACTTTGTTATCATGGTACCTCCAAAATATGCGAGAATCAGTACTGTCATTTTTTGGAGGCACCACTAGAAAAAGAATTATCGTCGAGAGAACGACTTCTACCGAACAAGTGAACTAGCCAACAACTCGAACTGGGAGCTATGAAAACGTACCTGATCGGACGCGTTCACAACGGTCCACTGGAAATCACTGACGGGTTCCGGGCAACCGGAAAGAGCTTTGAGCGTGGGTGATGCCATGCCTGAACTGGATAGTGGCCTTTCACTTTTGGATGGTAAAATTGTGATCAAATGTCGCAAGGCAAGTAGACGATCCAGACTGATTAGCAGATGTGCTTGACCGAGCATTAATTTGGCAGCCAAATTCCGTTTATTATCGTCCAGTGATTGAATGTAACCGGAGACTCGACGAACAGCTAGCACTGGTTGCACACGAGCCAGATGCGGATCACAAACGGACAGGCGAATATCATCCAGACAACAAGTGAGCTGACTTGACGCGATAAGACTGCTTAATCGTTCCGGTCGATTAGTGAAACGTATACCGCAGAGTTGAAGACGCGCTAGTTCACAGTCCAATTGTGGCTCCGGAGCCTGGGTAGCAGGAAAGGGAACAACGGTATGGTTTAGATAAGAACAGGTACGTTTCACGTGCTGATTAGTGAGTGGATACTGAAAAAACGGATCTGTTGGGGAAAAAATGCCCCGCATACATGGCATTGTGGTCAACTAAAGCCGCTCAACTTTAAACTAGGATAGTCGTGGTGTGCAGTGAAAAGGGAGAACCTAGTAAACTAACAGATCAGAACTGCTACCATGATGGCTAAACCGATTCCAGTGAATGTGTTGTAGAAGGGAACAAACATCATAGGAAACCATGCGTTTACCGGAAACATTAAGATTCCGAACTTCCTCTACAAACTCAAAGGAGTCTTTTAAACTGTAAATTGATAGTTTGTCACGGATCGGTTTGATTAACTTCGATAGCCAACGAGCCAGCTTCTGATGCGGTGCACCAACCATCGATAAAATTGGTCTGAGTGGAACAGCATCCTTATGGATCTTTGGGAGACCATAAAGACGGGGAAGACGTGACTCACGAGGTTTCAACGAATATGCAGTTTTGTTATCGATCAAGCCTTCTGAAACCATTTGTTTGATTATCCTTGTTACTTTCTGTTCAGCGCTTGCAGTTTTATCCCTATTCGAGTTTTCCTCTGCAAAACGGGCACCATCCTGGAGAATAGACTGCATTTTGTTAATGATAATCAAACAAATGGTTTCAGAAGGCTTGATCGATAACAAAACTGCATATTCGTTGAAACCTCGTG